AAAAACGGACTGATGTCAAACGGTTTATGATGGTCATATAGCAATGGTGGATAATTACGATAATGCAATAAAAGTCATATAAATATCATCACAGAGAAGTATATTTTCTTCTTCCATCGTTCGTTCGTCATTTCAGCAGCGAACAGACAAAATATCTCGTAATCTAGAAAACCTAGAGAAATTTATGTAGGACATTTTTTGTAGGAAAATTCGAGATCTACAAAAAAGATTCTCATGAAAAATTTCTGGCTGCATTAGATTCAGAGGTAAACGGGAGGAAATCCCAGAAATTGCCTTTTCACCTTTCGCTGCTGAATTTGTACGAACGGTAATCACTCACTATCACTCATTTAATCTCCTACTTACTCTCCCTCATTAATCTCTCGATCATTACAATTCGTTCATTCACAAAAAATAAAGATAATAAAAGTGACAGAATTTTTCTCATTTGTCATTCGTCTCATCTCACACTTGAGTTTTTCGTTAAAAATTCTGTGTAAACTCTCCATTTAGATACAAACGCCTACATTCGTGTCAATGGCAGTCAGTTCTCGTGGAATTGCATCTGAAATTTTCCAATTTTCTATCGATTTTCATTAAAGAAGTGAAATAATGTAATGAAAACTCAGAATTTACGATTTATCTCGAAAACCATTGATTTTACGAGAAAACGTTATAGGACTTTTTTTTACACGATTAAATTCTCGAGAAAAAAGGTCATTTGGTATTTCATCGTAAAATCAATAGCTTTGTAGATAAATCGATCGGTAGTAAAGTGTAAAATTTTGATTACCCGATTTTTAATTATGAAGTGGCGATTTTCGAAATTGGAAAATCCTAGATGTCTGTTTTTCCGTTTTTCAGTATTTCCTTAGGAACTTTGTGATAAATCAAAATGAAAAAAACATGTGTCACACCCCAATTCCCTCCTGAAAAATAGAGGAGGTCTGCGGTCGATTTAATCGTAATTCTACTCAGGAAATTCACAATTTGCAATTCTAGTCGTCAATTATCATTTTTTATTTCACCAACGCACGATTTAATACTCAATCGTTGTATTATTTCCACCTGCACGACCACCCAACGACCGATAAAATTACGGACTTCCGGTGTGAGAAATATCAGCAGCGAAGTGGTGAATAAAACCGACGATTCATAAAATTCCAGTTAATTGGCGATATCTCGATAACCGCAGGTCCCACCGAAAAACATGATGGACATTTTTGGTAGGCAACAATATGTTCCACAAAAAATGTCTTTTCACTTTTTCCCCCAAGCTCAGTGATTCCCGAGATAGTCAAACAATTAGCGACAACCGATATAAACAATTCCAAAAAAACTCAATCTCAATCAAATTCTCTTCATGTTTTAATTGGCCATATCTCAAAAACCGCTGACTCCAGCAAAAAACTTGATAGACCTTTTTTGTAGCCAACAAGATTTCCCACAGAAAAGTTCCGATTCCATTTTTCGCTGGACCCAGTGATTACCGAGATAATTGGGCAATTAGGCGCAGGTGGATTTAGCAAAACCGAAAAAAAATCGTTCCAGGGTTTTATAGAAATCTCTGGATCCATGGAAAATGGGGGAAATTTCCGGGAAATTACCTGCAGAATTCATAAAGGGGGAACACTCAACCCTTCCTTGTTGAATTAGCAATTGAAATATTAATTACTAGCGGTGGGGAATATCATTGAGTGGAATAAATAGGTGGGTGATGATTAAATGTTCGATAAATGCTCAAGATATTCACTTATCTCCTCAGCTTCATTACAATTTGAGACGCTAATTGCTGGGAACACGTGTTACACTCATCGATACGATAATTTCAACATGGACTTAATTAACGCATGAGTCGAGGGCATCGAATTATGTTCCTTCACTCGCTCCACAAGTCGGTTTATTAGTTAAATGACGAGGGGTCATTTAGGCAAGGTAGATGTGAACACAAAGTGTTGGCTGTCGTATTAGTGATAACACTCCGTTCCAACATATGAATTTGTCAGTTGCAATTACTCAAACTCAAGAAAACATTGCATCTGTTTAAACTCATTTTTCCAGAATGAGCAATTTGCAATTGTAATTATCTCGATAACTGTATGATTCACAGCGAAATGTCATTTGAATTTTTTGAGGAGCACCAAATTTACTACAGAAAATGTGAATAAAGTTTTCTTGTACAATCGCTCATTAACGAGATAATTCACTTATTAATTAGAAACTGTCCGAAAAATGCGGTTTTCAGTACTTACGTTACACTCCATATCTCAAAACCCTCGGACTTCTTCAAAAAATGGCAGAGGACTTTTTTGTAGCCTTGAAAATTCTGCAGAAAAAAAGTTATCTGGCATTTTCCTCTCATGCCGATAGATCCGGAGTTATTCGTGTGATAAACTAAAAATCCAATGGTTATCCACCACTTGCCGACCGCAATATCACTTAATCACTCAATTACTTAATTAATTAATTATTCAAGTGATTAATTATTTAATTAATTCCATGCATCCAGCGTAGAACCATTAATCCACCCCCTCAATTCTTCACAAGAGAAACTCCAAAATCAGATCTCGTAATTCTTTTTTTTTTCACCTTTTCATGTTTATTTGTTTATTAATTACTCTCAATGCTCCCATACCCGGCACTTTAAACTACTCAGTTCTGTTCCAGTTTGTGAAATGTCGGAACCTGCCGCTATTCTCATTCAATTCTCACACACATCCACACGAATGTTCACTCTCCCACTAATTAGACATCGAAATTACTCCGTAACTCCGAGGCCTCGGATTATCATGAAACAAAAAAGAAAACAGTTTTTTTTTTTTTAACAAAAATGAATTTTATAATTAACTTTTATGGAACCTTTTACATAAGAAATGTTTGGATTTGTTTTTTACCATTACGCGCACATTCTCATCATTTATTTATTTATAAATGTTTGTTTATGTTTGAAAAATGTTGAATAGGAAAATTGATATAATGGGGTGTTTTCTAATTCTTCAGGTGTCGTTCACTAAGAATTCGTGGACTTTCAATTTATTTTCGCATTTTTAAACTGAAATTTCAGGTGAAGAGTCAATTGTCATGAGAAATTATTAATTTTTCGGTGGATTTTTCATTTTTATTCGGAATTTCGAGGGGAAATTGACGATTTAGGGAAAATTCAGTTTAAAACGGAAAAGTGAAAATGTAGAAAATAATTATTCATTAATGATCTTATTTAAAAATTATTTCAAGTCCACAGCTCTTAAATGTTACGTGTAAGCTCTCAGTGACGATTTAAACCCCAAAAATATCGAGAATAATCCCTCGATGTAATCAACGAAAGATATCGATCTAAATTCTAGGGATTATCCCAGTAAAAATGCTGAAACGTAACTACACGTGTGATTATCTCGATAACGAATCATTTCACGGGAAAAGGTGAAAAACCTTTTCCGTTCCGAATTTCATGCTTTTTAAAAAAGGTCTAACGACATTCCTCTCTAAATCCAGAACTTTCCGAGATATCCGCGAAATACTCTCCGCAATAATTCCAAAAAATCGAGAGTTATGAAAAAATTTTCAAACGTATTCCGTAAATATCTTGGAAATTACTGGATCAAGGAAAAAATATCATAAAGCCTTTATCGTAGGAAATACAATTCCCCACAAAAAAGGTACGCAACATTTTCCCGTGGGTCGACTCGTTCTCGAGATAATCCGGCGTTTACCACCGCGTTTCAGCACTTTATTTATCATCGTTCTAATACTCAAAAATCCAGCAACAATAAAAGTTGCACCTCCCATTCCCAACTCGACCCATCAAGTATCACCCAATTATGAATTTCTATCTTTTACAATAAAAAATTTCTAGTATAGAAAAAACAGAAAATTTGTTCCACGTTTCCCCATTTATTGGCTTCTCATCCTCTTGAAAAAGCTATTCGTTCCATTCCCCATTTAAATCCATCCTAATTAATAAATAAACTTAATACAAAAAATTTTGGTCATTAAATGCGAGAGATGAGAAGCCTAAGGGGAAATTGGTGAAATGACAGGTGGAATTTGCACTCTTGTTATATTTTTCTTTACGCGCTGATAATTTCGTTTAACGTTTCATTTTTTTAAATTCCTTACATATTCGTATACTTTTTAAGGGCGAGATGACAAAATTTTTTTTCCGAAAGAATTTCTTTTGGAAATTCATCGATTATCTCCGAATTAATCCGACAGAAAATGCCAATTTGTCGAGACAGTTCGACACTTTGAGGCTGATTTGTGGATAAGAAAAGGTAGAAAGGATTTTTCAAAATTTTCCATCATCTCGACTAGCATTTTTCGTCGAATTAATTGATCATTAGGCCCTCATCATTGCTCTACATCAATTTGCTGTGGAGAAAATGCCACTGACATTTTTAGTTCAATTTTTCGTCTTAATTTGTGTCAAATCACTTCAAACCTCAGTCAAAGTCTCCATTTTCATTCCTTCGGCTTTCACTCTTGACGTCTCCACCTCCTCATCATCAGATTATCATAACTATTTGTTTATTAAAAAATACGAACAAATCAGAGTATTTTTTGTCTCCAGAGAGTGCAAAAACTTGAGAATCCGGAATTCTTGGATTATCTCACAAACCACTGAATTTATGAGAAAAAATGATAAAACATTTTTTGTCGCAAATTTTCTCACCGACAAAAAGTTCCAGCAATATTTTCCCGTGGAATCGGTACTTTCCAAGATAATGACCGAATTGCAACCTCGAGTAAAAATCCAAATTGTTTGTTAAATGATAAATTGTTTTATCTTTTTGTTAACGTTATTTTCCAGTTCTCTCGTACCACGAATTAATTAATCATAAGACCAAGGCGAATAAATGAGTAATGATCGAAATAATACCCGATAAAATGTCCTCTTAATGATTCATTTAGCCTAGATCAGTCTCTCAATCCTCGTGACACGAAAAAACTCGCCATAACATTTCAATTCAATCCAATAATTCAGAGGCAAATACGTCACTACACATCACTAATTTTACTTACGGGTATATACATACATTACAGTAATAAACTCATCACACGCATTACAAATTTCTCTCACAATTTCTTACGAAATCTAAACTTAGCTGCGATTTGTTCTGTTCTGTTCTGTTCACTTCCTATTTCAATTTTTTTTTTTCAGCTCTTGTGGGTTTTATTAATTATTAATTAGTAATTTCCAAGGTCTACGGTCCCACCACTCACATGTCTGCAGGTTTTTTTTTTTTCAATTTATTATCAGTTGCTCTTATCACTGAATTTTTTATTATTATTGCAGTTTCAAGTTCTCGTGTGAATTTCGGGAAAGCTGAGGTTTTCATCGAGAAATATCGCATACACATTCGATCATCAATCAGGGGCCGGCTCCACGGGTCATCGAGAATTTATTAATGAATTTTTTAATGGGAGGGAGAGGGGAGGTCATGGGAAATGAAAAATTGTTCAGAATCGATGGTTCTTCGCGGTTACATCGCGAATATATCACCAGGGAGGTGATTTAGGAGGAAATGTGAAAAGACATGTTTTGTAGATAAATTGAATATCTACAAGAAAGCTTTGTGACATTTTTTTCTGAATAGAGTAGTTTTCGAGATATTCGTGAAATACGAAACATTTTTTACTACTTCTTGGATTAACATTAGTTTATTCTGAGACGATTGTTGTTTTTATTTAAATTTTTTGAGGGAAATAAATGATTCGGTGATGGGGGATTATGGGAGCTAGTTTCTTGGGTATATCCAGTCAAAACTTCCAGTGGACATCCCCAAGAAACCCTTCAACAGCGGTTTTTACAAATGATTTTCATTGAAATTCTCGATCAACCCACGGAGAAATCACACTACGTCTACGAAGGAAAGTCTCGATACTCGATATTTGGCACAGATTAACCGAAGGTTCAAACATTTCCCCAATGTGCACCAGGTGGAATAAAAGAAAGCAGAGTAAACGAAAAAAGAAAAAAAAAATGGGGCACATTTCAGTGGTGAAGAGGTAAAAATACGATTTCTCCTCGCTGATCCCTCGATTATCCCAGAGACTCGATACTTCTAAAAAATTCCTAAACCCTTCCTCAGTGACTGTAATTCCTACCGAAAAATTCGCCCCGCCCTCGCCCCTCCCCCTCACAATTACCGAGATAATTACAAAAAATTAACGAGATATGAAAGAGTCTCGTTAATTCCAGAAATATCTTGAGAACCAGGGAACGTATCGTAAAATGCACTGAACATTTTTTGCAGCTCATAAAATTCTCGATAAAAAATTATTCATCACATTTTGTCGCAGCACCTCTCGTTCTCGAGATACAGGGAGATAATGAAACATTGAGGAAATGAGGATCGACAAATTTAATTGATTTCACCCCTTCACCTGAAAAAAAAAAACCCCAACAAAACTTCAATAATGTGTGTCAAATATAAAGCATGCACGTATATTATTTAAACCCTCCCCATACGATATAACAACGACAGAGGAGACATTGAAAAACATACAATATTCACGTTAAATCAAGTAAACTCCTCCACTGCAATTTATCCGTCTTTAGTCTATTTGTTTCAACAATCGTAAAAAAAGGGGAAAAAAGTAAAACGTAAATATATTATAATACAGCGTACGTTTTTTAAGCTAGGAATATTTATTGGGTTATTTACGCACTTGAGAGCCTTTTTCTTCAAAAAGAAAAAAAAACAAAAAATCATTCCTCTGGTTCCCCCACATCTCGAATTTATTCTCATCATTCATTACACATGAATGGGCTCGATACAGACGAATCCGTCGTCAAAGTGCATGAGAACAGAAAAACATACGATATTTACATAAAAAAGTTGAAATATTCCACTTGATTTAGATTTTTCAAATTTTTTTTCTCATGTTTTTTTGCTTCTCTCCCACTGGCACCTCCTGTCCTCCAGTACCACCTGATTTTCCAATTAATTGGACAATTATTAATTAATTAATAGTAATTATTGATCAACTAATGATTCCCCAGGTGCTGATTACTCATGTTTTTGGGGATTTTTCCCAGATGATTGAACATGTCGATTTGTATTTTTGTTTTGCTTATCGTTTTGGTTTGAATTTTTTGGTGGGTTCTAGGAAGATGCTGAGGGCTTTCAAGTGGATGATCACGAGTGCTTGACGACGATGACCCCTGGTCGCTGCTGATTCGGCTGAGTTGTGTGGAGGTGGAGGAAGTTGACGTCTGCTTGGAGAAGTCGTTGCTTCGTGAAAGTTGCTGTGGCACCTGTTGGCTTGTTGGTGAGGGCCAGGGGTGCATCCTGGGCTGGCTCGTCGCTGAATAAATGATCACCCTCCAGGTGGCGAATTGCCTCCACGATGGTCTCCAGATTCTGACGTGATGTGTTGGCGAGGTAATGACGGGCCTGAGGTGTACCGTCTTCCAGGGAGCTCGAGGGCGATGGCAGTCTGAAATTCATTGACATTTTTTTCTCAAGTTTTCAATTATTACTCTGAAAAAATTCTCACGATATCAATGCAATGACATCTGAATATATTTTTCAAATGTGAATGTTATTTAATTAGGGAATTTAGGGAACAATGACGATTGGAGTAATTATCTTACCTTTCAACCTCGACTTTGGGTTCAGCCTTCATCGCGGCCTCGAGAACACTCGGTAGAATGGGTTCAGCAGCTGGTGAAAAGGGTCTCGTTGGACTAGCTGGTATAAACTGTGCACCAGTATTTTTGAATTCCCCAGCATAAGCCACTCTCGAGGGCGAAAATGCCTCTGTATTGCTCGCCTCCTCGATGGTTGCTGTGAATATCTGATTGTTTGCGGCAAATGTAACGATTTTAGGACTACCAGGGCGTACCTCGTCCTCCTTTATCTCCTCGGTGATCAATTCAGTTGGTTGAGGGGATAGAGGTGGTGATGTTGGATCTTCATTCGATGTCTCAACTGTTTGCGTTGAACCAACTGCTGGTATTGACATCACCGAGACCACCTGGAGGGCAGCCACTGCCTCCTCTGTTTCCTGAGCCAGCACGTTATCAGTGTGTTCAATAACCTGAACACAATTGTTATTAATTAATTCATTAAAACTCCTATTCAATTTTCTAGACTACAACAGTTCATTTAACGCTCGAAATATCTCCACAACTACTGGTTCTAGCGAAAAATATCTATATACATTTTTTTTGACGATTGAATTTTGATCAAAAAAGATCTTCCGACGGTCGATCTAGGGATGGTAGTTATGGAGATAATTGCGGGTTAATGATTGGCGTTTATTTGTGGGTAGATTAGTTACCTCGTGTGGCTGATAAGTCATGACCTGATTGTCACGGAATCTGTCTGGATAAACCTGTGCCTGGATAGCTCGCATCTGCTTCTCCAGGTGTAGCCTTTGATGGCGCTCTCTCTCCAACTGTCGTCTCAATTCGACAATCTCACTGCTGTTGTTAACCGAGTGATTCTCAGATGATACTGTGATGACAGAGAGAGGCTCAGGTGACATACTCCCAAGCCCTTCGTCCCCACTTTCACTCACGTGCATTGGGAGGCTCACCACAACTCCTGAAACAACGAAAATGAGCAAAATCCAATTAGTCTGTGCATAATTATTATTAATCTCCGTGACAGATGAAACCAGAATCCCCAAATTGCACACGCTGACGAATCATCGAAAATCTCCGAAACGAATGAATCCACAAAAAAAAACAACCCAACCTTTTTGTAGCTGGAAAAATTATCCACGGAAAAAGTCTTACAGAAATTTTGTCTAAAACCTCACCATTCCGAGATAATCCGCGAATTAACACTCCTTCGAATCCACTTCGAATCGTTTACGGATTATTGAATACCTCGGTAATAAGTGGATGTAGAGAAAAAGTCATTGGACATTTTTTATAGCCCGGAAAATT